GGGGGGGGGGTGTATTTTTTATGGAAGAAGTATAAAAATTAACATAAAAAACGTGTGGTTAATGGGGAAAGAGAATATGGCAATATTATTTTGTTCCACAAATAAATCCTCTAATAAATGATTGGTAATTAATACTTAAAATTCAATCTTGGTACATATATTGAAATATGGTATACTAAAATGTAATAAATACTAACCTTAAACATGAGTGGTAGAAAGGTTTGGTAGATGGGATATATATGTAAAAATCCCATAATTATATATTATCTCTATATATATTAGTTGTCTACGGACGAGTATTTAGGTTAATTCTTCGAATTACAACCAAATTGCAGAATTACAATGGGCCAGTCAACAGGCCTCAATTTCAAATCAGGCAATGGGCCAAACGATCTCGATAGAGAAACTGGGCCAAAGAAAAACCCTAGGCACCTTCGCATATAAAAACGTAACGCCTCCTTCTCGGTAGTCTTCTCACTGGCTAGAGGGAGAGTGAAGAGCAACACCGTCCAACAATGTCGAAGCGAGGTACAGTTCAATCTCTATAGCTTTTATCATTCTATGTAAACTCCATGTGTACTTTTGTTGTTTGATCTCATGTACTTTTCAAAAAAAAAAGAAAAAAATACTCTCTGTATATTTACTATTTGATCTCATGTAAGTTTTTTTTTCAATTTTTTTTTGAAATGTAACGTTAAGTGTGAGATTAAGAGCTTCTAGTTTGTATAAATCATAATTTACTTGGTAGTAGAATGAAATGAGCCTAATATAGTGGAGCATGTACAAATGTTTCATGTGGTCGACTTGAACTAGCTCGAGATTGAACTGTTTAATTTGTATATATCCTATTTTTTAAATTTATTTGAAAGTGTAATGTAAAAAGTGTGAGATTTAGGGAACTTTAATTTATATAACCTTAGAAAGCAGATTTATGTTATCGGTCTTAGAATGAAATTTGAAGCCTAATAGAGTGGAACAGCATGTACAAGATAGCAATCACTATCTGATCTGTGGAAATTCTTTGTATTTTTGTTGTTTGATCTCATGTATTTTTTTGAAATTTCTGAAAAGTTAATGTAGAAAGTGTGAGATTTAGGGAACATTTAATTTATATAACTCTTATTAGAATGAAATGAAGAACCTAATAGAGTGGAACATGTATAGTGTTATACTGAAATGAGCCTAATAGAGTAGTTGATTGATTAACCGGCCCCGACTTGATTCAAATTGAAATGTGGTTGATTGATTGATTAATTTTTTTTAAAATCTGATTTTTGAGGTTGATAGGGTGGTATATGTACAACTAGCCGGCTAGTTGTGTTTGACTGGTTAATTAATTCCTTAAAATGTAACTTATGAGCCTAATAGAGTGGAACATGTACAAATGATTCGTGTAGTCTAATTTAGTTTGAAATTGTGACTAGTTGATTAATTAGTTATTTTAAAATGTAACTTAAGGACGTGGAGGTTCCGCTGGGAACAAGTTCAGGATGTCGTTGGGTTTACCGGTGGCGGCAACTATTAACTGTGCCGATAACACTGGTGCAAAGAACCTTTACATCATTTCAGTGAAGGGTATCAAGGGAAGGCTTAACAGGTTGCCTTCAGCTTGTGTTGGTGACATGGTTATGGCCACTGTGAAGAAGGGTAAGCCTGATCTTAGGAAGAAGGTTATGCCTGCTGTCGTTGTTCGTCAGCGCAAGCCGTGGCGCCGAAAGGATGGTGTTTTCATGTACTTTGAAGGTATTTTCAGATACCCTTAATTGTTTTTGTTGTTTTGAAATTGATTTGCTTTTCATATTTTGAGTTTGCCTTTTGTTTTGTTGAACCTTTACCAAAAGCATTATAATTTTAGTTTTGGGTTTTCATTAGTTCCAGTGTTTGTTGGGAGTCTTTTCATTCTAGTTAGCAAGTTGTTTGTCCATGTAGAGATAAAGTGTAGCTGCATATATCATTTCATAATTATAAATTACTGGATTCATATTTGTCTTCTTGATGCTATTGTCTTGTTAGTTACATTACCTGTATTATTTTTCCCTCTGTTTGTGTATTGGTTCCATACATGATTATTACTTGTATCCGGGTAGTTCACTGAATTATTGAGTGTTTTGGAACGGCTGTTTGAGAGGTCTGCACAGTATATGAAAACTTGTCTGCTGATCCTTCTCTTTTATTTGTGCAGATAATGCTGGCGTAATTGTGAATCCCAAGGGTGAAATGAAGGGTAAGTTATTTTACATTGAGTAGACTTTATTGCTATTTCTAAGGCAAAAGAGATCACTAAAGTTACGTTTAACAGTTTTACTTCTGTATCTTTGTTTTTGAAGTCTATTACTTTCTCTGTTCCAATTTCTGTGGTATACTCCTTTTTTGTCAGTCCCCCAAAAAATGTCACATTTCCTCATTTAGAAAACTTTTATCTTCAGAGTTCCTACTTTTCCCTAATGAAATGATTTACAACTATACAAATATCTAAAGTTTGTTTTTTACAACAAATTTCAAAAAGTCTTTCTTTCCTAAACCCTGTGTCGAGTCAAGCAAGTATTTTTTTTGAAGTGTCTGAAAAGACTTCTCATAAGTTGGCTATCAGTGTAATTGTGGTTAGCAATGGGGCATAAGTAAGCACACAGACAACACTAACAAAGCAGGTGGCAGATATAAAGAAATTGATTCAACTGTAACATCTATCAATCTCGCAATTCCAGACTTGACTCATTAAGTGAGTCTCTTGAGAGTAAACTATTAAACTAATAAGAGCTGTGTGGTTGACTATCAATGCCTAGTTGAATCTGTATTTTGCATGCCGGACTATGTTATTCTTACCATGTATTTTTTCTGTTATGTAGGATCTGCCATTACTGGTCCCATTGGGAAAGAGTGTGCTGATCTTTGGCCAAGGATTGCAAGTGCTGCCAATGCTATCGTTTAGTTTGAGAATTGTGTTTTCCAATAGTTTATTTGAGTTTTTGAATATCAGGGAGTTCTTTTCTTGGTAAGAATTAGTGCAACTGGCTATGAGAATTTTGCTGTACTCCAAAAGTTTTCATCTATGTAGGACATTACTGTTTCCTTTTCTTGTTGATGTGTTTGTTACGAGTAAAAGAAAATATGTTGAACTAATTTATTTTCTAACACTTCCGTAGACACCAAAGGATTTACTACATATCGCATGATATGTAAAGTTAAAAGTTATGGAGCATTGACAGTAAAATTTGGTCATTCAACTTAGAACAAATTCTACTGTTCCTCTACTTGGTTGTAACAAGAAGAGTAGAATTTGTTCTTTTCTCAAGCAACCACCAATTTTATGGGCTACAAAAGATTGATTGAAAATGGAGTCGTTTCATTAATCCAGTGAATAGGGAAAGAAAGAGAATTTGCAAAGTAACTGTCCATAGCGGAGCAAAAAGAAAAATCAAATAGAGAGTGGGATATATATACGTGGAAGCTTTCTTAAATGGATCGATTGTGGTGGTGTGTTAAGTATTCTTTATCTTTATGGTAGAGAGTTTTTTCCCCAAAATGAGACTTTCTAACACAAATTGTTGGCTCAGCACAGAAATTGTTACATCTCTAAGGTAAGACCCTTTTGCTCCAAAAAAGGTTTGGACCATGGGGACCTATTGGAAGCATAGTTTTGTTTGACCAGTTGGTATTGATCATAATTAGTGGTGGGTATATGTCGGTTCGATTATAAATATTATCGGTTTGACATATCATTTATCGATTTATAAATATGTTAAATCAATACCCGAATTGATTATCGATTATCGATAATTATCGGTTTACCATGAAGATATTGTGTATGTATAAAGAATAGGCGAAATGGCCTCGTGACCACTTAATCTTGTACCCGTTTGTAAAGCCGATACATAAATTTACCGTTTTTCTATTTGAACACTCCAACTTGACAGAATGAGTACTAATAACTATATTCAGTAGACGTGTATATCAATTGCGCTGACATGTACAACACATCATATGTTAGATTATTTATTACTTGACATGTGTTATTTGTGGATCCAGTTTTCAAATACTAAATCAACAAAAAAGAAGTCACAAATTAAATAGAAAAAAAAGGAGGAAAAAGACCTGGCACTTCCTTCTTCTCCGTTCACCCACCTCCCTTACTTACCATTTTCTAATTCTTTCTTCTCCTTTCTCTTTTTCCTTACTGTTCTTTCTCCCGTTCTGAATCAATTTCACAACTCTGCTATGTCATGATTAGACCTAAAAAAAATTGAATTTTAGAATTTCAAAAATTCAATAGGAATCCATTATTTTGAAACAGTAGAGATCACTAAATACCATTGCAAATATCTGCCTCTTTTTTGCTACTGTTTTAGCAAAGAAATTTGATAACAAGGTTTTTTTCAGACCACCGGTAGTTTAAAGTGGTGAGTACTTTTGATCACCATAAAACTTAAATGGTTGCCACCTCCGCGTTGCTAGCAACTGATCATAACCTCATCTTTTTTAAAACTCCAAAATCATAAAATATAAGTCAAAATACACAATCTTCATATCGAATTTTGGCCGGAATTAAACTTTCGATGTTCCCTCTCTTTGCTTAAGTTGAAGAGAAGAAAGAGAGCGGAAATGAATACTGACAGGCTAGGGGTCATTTTTTCCCTTTTCTTTTTTATTTTTTTAATTGTTTTCCTATTGATTATAGTATTTTCTTTAGTCGGATTATTGCATTCACGCGCATTTTCTGCGTGATTGATACATATTTTCTCCACATCACCTATGTCACTGCCATATAAGCATAGTCAATAGTGAAAGTGATTTCTTAGTACTCGTTCTGTCAAGTTGAAGTGTTCAAATGGGAAAACTACAAGTTTATGTATAGGCTTTACAAACGGATACAAGTTTAAGTAGGCCACGAGGTCATTTTGCCTAAAGAATATGATAAACTTTCTCTATTGTCATAACTCTTTCAAAGAATATGATAAACCTTACAACATTGTTTCTCTATGCGTTAAATGATAATTTTTGGAGGATTACAACAGTAGATAAAGAATTTGGAAAACTGAAAAATTTATATATCTAACGGTAAAATCGTACTTTTATAAAATTTATTGGGTTATCAGTTAAATCGTTAATAAATTGGAAAAACTGAAACCCGAGCCGATAACGTAATAGCAAAATAACACTAAACCGTTTTCGAACCGTTAACCTAATAACCGATAGCGATAATCCAATAGGAAACTAACACTAAATCATTACCGAATCATTAACCTAATAACCCAATATCAATAATCCAATAGTAAAATAATACTAAAGTGTTACCTAACCGTTAACCTAATAATTTAATATCGATAATCTAATAAAAAAAATTCAATTTATTTTACCCTATATATGCCCAGCCACAATCACAACTATTCTCCAATCACTGAAATTTGAAAATGACATTCAATGTTAGTGAAGCTGATACCTAGTTGCCTACATATAGAATCATTATACTTAAAGAGCACATGCCAATCATTATACTCATTTCTTATTAAGAGAATATTATCCATCTATATATAGTATTAAGAATATTATCACTCTTCCACTAGTCCCCGTATATATACAAAGGTCGTTCAGACTTTGAAAAATTGTGGTTAAAGCCCCCTAAATTGAAGGCACAACAGATTATCTTGAATTCATAAGCAGGTGAAGGAATGAAAGTCTTGAGTTCAACAAGCTTGAAGAAGATCCAGATGTTGAAGTGGTGGCGTGGATGGAATATTTTAGCACATGTATCAGATAACTCTATTGTTACACTGGTCAATATCGGATATAGAGCAAGGATGAATGGTTTCAAAGCACTGTGCATTATTAGAAAGTCGGTTTTGAGGTTCAAATCTCAGTAAAGACAAGCTCTGAGATAGTGAAGAAACTTTGTGTGATTTAGCTATGATGCTTACAACTACTCTCAGAATTTTGATGATGGATGCTTTGATGAACACCCTTCACCTTTAGTTCTTTGAAATTATTTCATGTTGGGTAATCTTTTTTATTTGTTTAAATCTTGGTAAGCACAGTTAACCGGCACATGTCCTAATTGGAAGTAGTTCATGGTCGAGATACATGCAAGTTGACACGCCACACAACTGAAGCATGAAGAGTAGAAGCTATCTCCATTTCTTGATATCATAGTTTGGATGCCAAGATTATGCTTTGCCAATTGTCAGTAATTATTGACTACTTTGTATGTGTTTTGACGATATTGAATTTAGAAACTAAAAGTATAGATAAAAAATTAGGGATTCTTACCCAAATAGCCGATTGGATTCATCACTCATTTTTCTTAATCGGTATATATAGATTGTATATTAATTATACACAATGATACACATGTTATTAATCCACCGTAAAATAATACTAAATTGTTACCTTCAAAACTGTTACCGTCTATTTTTAATTTAAATAGTTGGGTGATCAGCTTTTTAAATTAATTCTTCAAAAAATTACCAGGGGAATATTATGTAGTCGTTGTATAATTGTATGATCAGGTGGCTAGATTTGAAAATTCTCTCGTGTATACAAGGTCCACAAATCCAACTCGAAATGGTTCAAATATGCATCACTCCCATTTAACTGGAAATGATTCATATTCTTCCATCAATATAGAGAAAATCTCCATTTAAATCTTTTTTTTTTCTTATCCGGTGTTTGATAATGCATGCGCTCTGACTAGTTAAGATTGGTACAAGGCCTATTAAAGAGAAGAGTGCTTTCTATCAAGATTTTGTTAATTCGGTTAAAGATGAATAAGTTATATTCATTCCATCACAATTTTTGGTGATTTATGATTCGAATCTATTTATTCTCTGTTAAAAAAGAGACACACAAAAAAACCTATGAATTGGTATTGCATCACTATCAGTCTATCAAAAAAACCTCACTAAAATAAGGTTGAATACACCTAAAATTACCACCGTTTTTTATTTAAACACCTCAAGTAAGCTTTATTTCGATTGAACATTTGTAGTTGACCTAAAGTGTACCAATCAAACATATTTACATAATTGATAGCGTGAGTTGCACCAATATAATACTTATGCTCATTGTCCTCTATTGATGCCTTAGGAGATTTTTCGACGTATAAATATATGTTAATACACAATTTTATTTGTAATTACTCTATCTTTAGTTAGAAAAGCCTACTAATTGTGGTTCACTATTTAGCAAACTATATAGTAGCATCAAGCCTAAGAGCTTTATATATGGTGCCACTCACGCTATCAATCATGTCAGCAAAATGTGTCTAAAATATATATATTCAATTGGAACAAAATCTATTCGAAATGTCTAAATGAAAATTCGTGATAACTTTAAATGTTTCTATTTTAAATAATTTATATATGTATCAGAAAGAATAATCGTTTCCAAAAAAATATCTCTATTACATATATATATATATATATATATATATATATATATTGATGCTACTTGAATAAAAATATAAGTTATTTACATTAATTTTTTGGGACAAGAAACAATACTTTAAAACCACCACAATTCAAAATTCAAATTTTTTTGCAAGACAAACAATATTAATATGCTGATGCTGCTAACATAAAATCTTGATGTACGCTATTGTGGTCGAATCATATTTTTATTCCCCAACCAAATATCGACAAAAATATTAAATTGCATTAGATTTTAATGAATTCACATAGATTCTTTGTGCATGCCATTTGTGTATGACTTTTGCTTGCGTTATGAATTGTCGTTATCCATTCATATATTCGAATCAAATTATTATTCCTTTCTTATTTTTTACTATCACAAAATAACATTAATACATATATATATCATATATTTACACTAATTTAATAAATACATGACATATATTTTGATAAAAATAACTATCACTAATCATAGTTAATTAATATACAATCTCACTTTAATTTATAACTCAATCATGATAAATTAGTATAATTTAATATAAATACTTATGCAGATAAATTTTTACTGAACAATAGAAAGGAGAGAGAAATTTTATGCAGATAAATATTTTGAGCAGTGTTCAGACCAGCTCTTTAGCTTCATAAATAATATTGCGCCAATTTTTTGGATATAGAATCTGATTTTTTCATATTTAGTACGAATATTAAATTGATCTAATC